TTGCAAAACAATGCAAGGCAGGGGTATGTGTCATCTGACACGGATTTGTTGCTGTGCTGTCGCCTTAGCATTTGTGCCTTGCCCTCCGAATTTGTCGTGACACCACAACGAACGCCCATTAGGTTTGCTGTTTTTGCTCTTTGGGTTGCAATTTTGCCTTTTTTTTTAAAACGTTTCTGTGGAGGATGTATGTGGGTGACTGTGATGTGCTGTGTCCCTTCTTACGCTGACTCTTCCTGGCAAGTTGGCAGGTGTGCTTTAATTGGGACGTCATGCACGACGTGGCTCCGTGATGATCCGCCCACACTCATCCGTTGTCAGTTCCCTTTTACGGGCGATAAAGCAGTGCACAGAATGAAAGGCAGCAGCAAGAGATGAGATGCACGTTGCGAAATGAGCACGTAGGTGATTGAGGAGGAGGCAGATGAGGTGGTTAGCATCAAGAGAGTGACTGTCAGCAATGGCTTCATGCGCAGTGCTTTCTGGCTGTCCTAACACCGTTCTCTTTCCAGGCAAAGTAGACGAATTTGCAGCCCTTTGACTGTTTTGTTGAAGTTGTTGTAAGAAGAGTGGAGTACTGTTTTGGTGTCTGAGATGTTTACTTTGTCGGTGATGGTGATTTATAAAATTATTTTTTTCCTTTGTGTGACTGAACAAGTAAAGGAAGGGTAAAGTGGGGACGAATGCACTCAAGGACGAAGTGAAAAAAAGTGGTGAAGATGATGTAATGATGTGATTTGAGGTAGATTCCTTTATGAAAGGTAAATCATCCCAAAGAACTGCACGTTTACTTTGCTTAACAATATTTTTACCTCCATTTTTTTAAGGTGTCCGAATCCATGAGCACACTGCTTTTGACATCGTACTTTTTTCCACTTTTTTTGCAGCCAAATTTGTCCCTTTAATATTGAAATATCTTCGATTATTCCGGTTTGGAGCCACATCTCCTCCATTATTTATGGCATCGCGATATCCTGGACGCACACCATGGGGATGCCATAATGCCTCCACCAAATCGCATTACAGTTTCCAAACTCTTGCAACCACCTATTTAAAATAGGCCTCTTATTTAATTAACTTCCTCTCCCTCCTCCTTTGTAAATGTAAATTAAGAAATGACCTCTTGTTACCCTTACAAAATCCAATTACCCAATTAAATTTGGCATAAAATACTGTTTCGCTAGGTGATTTGTCTTGACAACAATTTTTTTTTTGGGACTAAGGTATGCACACTTGTTGTGCACTTCTCGCCTCCTTTAAGTTAATTAATAATGCGAAACAAAAATGCAAATCTGTATGATAGCTTTTCTGTTCGCTCAAATAAATAACTCCGTTTTTGCACATTTTTGACTAACAGCTGATTACTTGAGCTCATACCTAAGCAGCCGATCGATATTTTGGTTTTTCGCTCCATTGGGTGATTATCGATTTATAGTTCACCTTCAAGCGCCCAATCACCTGGACAGGATCGCTGAGGAGGAGGGGGGGGGGAGGCTGGCGTCTAAGGCGCCTGGTTTTTTGCTGTTCTTGGTTGAAGTTCTTCCGATTAAGGTGGTATTAATGGCAAAATTTTAGTGAAGAAAGTAATTGGTAGGAGTTTAAATTGTTTTGGTATGTCCTTCCGCCAAATTGATGGAGTAATGGCCTCTATATATGCATAAGATTTTGCGAAGAGAAATTTTACTTGCAGTACGTTTTTCCGTCCATACTTGTGAAAATGTGAGCAGACCTTTCAAATCATTTGCTATCCCAGCGCCGAGAAACTAGTATAGGACAGAGAATCAACGAGTTATTTTTTGCTTTAAGTAAATTTATTGCTAACTGCGGTTTGAAAGGCAAAGTGCGTATTTTCCACCGAAGTCTATCAAAGTTCATGTGGGCCAGTTAAGGTCTTCTTTCCACGATCATCTTAGGGCCACTTCTTGGGCGTTGACTGCTGTTGCTTAAAATTTTTGATGTGTTTACGACTGCAAGTGCACTGAATACGAACAGACAGATTGAGGGAAAGTATTGTAAACACCTTAAGCCTTCCAAAACACCGACACCCTGTTTCAAAACTGTTTTCGAGCAAGCAACAAGAGGTTGAGCTCATAACTAACGGCATTTAATCGTGTCCCCCTAATACTGTGCGCATAATTGTTTAGGCTAATCGGTACGCAGAAATGGCATTTTAATTGCGGTTTCGAATAATTAAAGGAGCAGTAGTAATTAATTCGAACATTTTCTTTAATTGCATTTGCATGTCCTAAAAGTGGTGGCATTCGTGCATTCATCCAGTCACTCACGAAGAAGGCAGAAGCGACTAGCATGTGCTTCAATTTTATTGGACCATCACATGATCCACTGCCAGCGCCTGACTATAAATACGTTGCTAGTGTATGCACTTGAGCATTTACTAGCCTCACCGTCAAGAGCAGTCCTCGTTATTATGCCATCGAGAGGAAGCAACAGGTAGAGTTAGGAATTCGGCAATGCTCTCAACCTCTGATTTATTCTTTAGCAGAAAACGAAGCACTGATTCGAGTAGTAATAGCAAATCTGGTGACAAAAACCCCTGCGATTTCTGCAATCATTCTGGGATTGCCATTCCCAAAGGTGAGTTTTACTTCCCTCCATAAGAAGGTATGCACGCCCAAAAGTGCTGATATGCCTTGAATCACGCATGGAGCATTTAGTAACCCGTCCAAAGCTTAATGCGTGGTTAAAGCGCTCATCACTACCATGATATTTTTGATGCAAGAGTGTATGATTGCAGATCTTCATTATTGTTAGAGGAAATTAGTAAAAACTCCAACTCTTTTAAATTATAGCCTGCAATCGCATCTTCCCCAGATGGTATTACTACGGTGGCAAAATGGCTTGCGAATTGGAATGAGGCGTGATGTTTTGTAACAAATCGCTTATTGTCATGAAAGCCTTTTTGTATTTACCAAAATGTTGCAATAGAGAATTTGTTTTGTATGTTGTTGTTTTGTCTAGAAGGGACAAGCAATCAATAACTCCGCAAAATTAGTCGTCCCAAAGTAATTGGATGTAGATTGGGTCCCATGATTGGCAGAGTAATAGCGCCGACCCTACCAAAACAAGTAGTTAAAAGCTATTTGAAAATGACTGATGCTTTGGGGTATCCATTGGAATGATTGTAAAGCCATTTAAGTTATACAGCAATGGGGAAATATAATGAAAATAAAGCATGTAATAAAAGTCGACTGTCATCAAGAAGGGTATGGGAATTATACCCATTTACAACTTTTTCATAATAAACATGTTTTGGGAGCATTAGACAAGGTAAGGATAAGTTCCAGGTTGGTGGCATTACCACCAAGAATATAACAATAACTACAGAAAATGAGATGATTAGAATCAAGGTCATTAAGTCGTAGTGGGATAGTTACAAATTGACATCATTTAAGACACCGATTCGATTAGGGCTGTGGCAGAGTTCATAGGCGTCATAACGTCCGAGCAGACTCAAATTGAAGTAGGAGGGAAGCAGTTCTCAATGAGACAATGGGATGAATAGGAAGGCATAAAATAATAGGGTCATCAAACAGGCGGATAAGAACATGCGTTAAAGAGGCTATCCCTTTGAATTTAGTCACTGCGTAAAAGACTTACATTACCTATATATAAGAAAGTGATTTAAAGCCATAAACAGTAGCTTAAATAATTCTTAAATATAATAAAACTGATAGCAATGAATAGCATTTACGCTGCAAATCGAGACTTTAATACCAGGTTCACACTTTCCTAAGGAGTCATGCATTAATGTGCATAGACTTAAGTGCAAAAATCCAATATGCTATCAAAATTCTACCATTAAAAATTTCCTCAGCCAAAAATAAAGTGTGATAATTAATTGTTGCTGTCGAAATTGAAGTTTATATTACCCACTAGTTTAAGTTAACTTATAGTCCACGTGGCTGTTCGAATCTGCCGCTTTCGCACATTACTCACGTTATCGGCTGGTGTCTTGCATCATGGAAGGTTTAACGGAGCGCCTTAATTGTCGTACGTGTGATCGGATCTCATTCTTCAATCGAAAGTGCTCCGTAGACGCTCTTACAGGTCTCGCACTTTTGGTCGAAACACTTCCAAACGCCGCTGTTCTTGGTAATCCTACATTGGAAATTCCATCGCCACCTTACACCGCGTCGATGCAAAAATTTGACTGTATTTCATGTCGAGTCTCTTGCGTCGATGCCGCAGAAATGGTATGTTATGTATTAGCTGACTCGTAACCCCTCCAGAAAGCGCATTTCAAGTCAAAGCTTCACATCGTTACAATAAGCAAGGGAATACCACGACACACCGCAAGTGAGGATTGGGTTCCAACTTGGAGTGAAAGCGAGAGTGATGGTTCCTCAACTTCATCTTCATTAAAGTACGAAAATGAGGGTGAGGAACCACCGTCTCCTGCTCTTGAATCCACCCCTGTTATGCGTCCACACTTCCATGGAAAACCAATGATGTTCTTTAGGAATCGAAAGGACGAGATTATTGGCATTTATCGGTGTCTACTTTATACGAAGGAGGTGGGGTGTCAGTCATTTCCGCATGTAGATTTTAGGCACCACCAAGGACCTTCGAAGATCTGCTGAACCGAGTAAACCTCCTTAGAAAGAGTCGATTTTGGGCTATTTTGCTCTACTCTGGAGGGAAATTCGCCGGTGGAATTTTCGATGAGTGTGTGCACCTTTTTTCTCTCTTGTCGTTTCAGTTGTTGATTACGCCAATAGCATTGTCAGCTACTTTCTTGAATCTAAAGATATTTTGCAAATCGTGTGAGGTTCTCTAGCTGGAAACCCAGTTCACTATTGCTTCATTTGTCGCGATATAATGATGGCATTAATATTGTTTTTAAGTAACTAGGAGCATTAGTCGTTCATTACACTTCTATTTTGTGTTAATACGGTTCTGCGGCTGTTAATTGCATCAAACCTTAGGAATTTTGAGCATATTAACGCTATGCACTAGCCAAATTAGTGTTGGAGTTGTTATTACTCCCTCCTGGTAATAAGTGATTTCTCTATGTTGTTACCACTTTTCTTCACAACTTTTAGAGCTGGGGCATTTATAAGAAGTTTCAGCGTAAAGTATTGAGGATAGACTGAGGGAAGTAGTTTGCTTTATGGTCGAGTCACTTGAACTCGAGTCAGTGCAGACACTTGCAGCCTCGGCACAGTATAATTGAAGTGCACTCATTTCTAGTTACTTAATTATTCAGTCGTCTTTTTACCCAATAAAGTATTCGTTTGTTCTACTCCAGTTCACAATCCTATTGACAATTCTTCAGTGCCTTTCACTACATACTTCTCTTTACCCCTCATTTAAACACGTACTATGCTCTCTTTCTCTGCTCGTGGAATTGACTCATTTGTCATCTCTTCATTAATTTGCCCACCAAACATTTGCTTATTGATTCACCTTGAGTGTATGTGTCTTTTCCATCACAAGTTTGTTTGTTCTTCTGTAGTTCTTTTTCCGTTATTCTATCTTCTTCATCCTTCCATCTATCTATTCATTCGTCAAAACATTTGTCGGCACTTCTCTTATCTGGTTTTTTGTTAACCCACTTAATGGTCATTCATTTCCAAGTGTTTGCCTATCTGGCGATCAATCCTGAACTTGTTAACTAAGTCAGCTCTTCACCCGGCATATGTCTGTATGACAACCTCAATTTATCTACTTGTCCGTCCCTTTTAGGTTCATCCACCTTTTTAACCAACTCTAGACTTCGCCATCAAATTCAAATGCGCTGACTTTTTTCTGGCGAATGGTACACATCCGATTTCTACGCCTTCACTCATGTGTTTTGCAGAGACAAGGAGGTTGTTCACAAGACCCTCCATCGCTACACTGTTCGTGCGAAACAGGGCGGTGGACAATTTCTACGCGACGCCACTCAGGGTGGATTGAGTGGACATAAATCGGCTGGCTCTAGTCTCCGTCGTCATGGTGAAATGGCTATTAGGGCTGTGAGTAGTTATGGTGCCAAATTGAAAATCATGGCACGTTAAAGCGAAATTGAAATCGGAAGTCTTAACGATTGTTATTCTCTACTATCGCTGTACGTTATAACCTGCTTAGTTGGATGACTTTGAATGCTCTTCCCGATTTTCATTTAGTTAGAGAGTTTTATTGCCTCAGTCTAACGGATTGGAGCGGATTGAAACTATTCTGGTGCAGGGTATGTGCGCTAGGAGCTATTGAAGGGCTTTAAAGACTGTGATAAGTAGATGATTTTGATGCCTGTATATGCTCTAATTTGGCAGCTCTAAACTGATTTTAGCAGCTATGATACGTCGGGAGATGATTTATCTCATTTCAGAGTATTGAATAGCAGTTTTTAGGCCTTTTATGGGCGCTATTCTCCAAACTAACATTGTTCCCAAGTGCTTTATCACCATCTTCAGTAGTTCAAGAGATTTAATAATCGTTGGAAGGATCTAGGGCTTTTACTAGAGTTGGGTGAATTGAAAAAAACTTTCCAACTTTCAGGAAGGTCGATGGATGGGGAGGTGAGTATTCCTTTGGGAGGTTTGGCTGGATGTTCATTTCGATAGGTAGATGGGTCTGAATGTGTATAGATTAGCGAATGGCAACAGGTTTGATCAAGGCAACGAATTAGCGAAAGAATGCGGCACTTTTCGGAACAAATATATGAAAAAAATGTTTTCAGCTTCTATTGCTTCTCTGCTTGGCCGCTTTCAGCTCCTCTACACCACCGTCTTGGTCTTTTTTAAGGCCTTTTTCCATGTAGGTACGCGACCTATGCGTTTTTTATAAATTATCTTCCCATGAGGACTACAAGTTCAGTCATTGTTGGCTAACTGAACGGCTCCAAGGAACTCCATGTCCCTGAAGGTTTAAAACCGCTATGGTAGCTCAATCCTTACTGATTTGGTATGAAATATGGAAGGACGCTGTGATTGGGAATTCGGATTCAGCGGCACTCCCTTCCTCTCCTTTCCTTACGCCCTAAATCCTCTCACTAACTTGTGGTGGGGACTCACATTAGATCATTTTACGACACCGGTCTCAACTGCTGTCATTTGACCTTCACGGTGGGTGAGCATGGCCTCCTGGTGACAAAAGATGTTTGCATTTAAAATGGTCGTCTAAGGGCTACTGTAGATAGGTTTGGTTGATTAAGGAGCATTTGGAGTAGAAAGACCGTTTCTTGTCACTTTAGTCAGTTGATCAATCAGCAGTGAAGAACAAGCAAATTGTCTTCATTTGTGTACTTTTTTCTCTTACAGTATGAGCATTGTGCGCCTGTCTATCAAAGCTCTCAGTATTAACTTGATTCATTTACTGATGCACCAATTGACTGTCTCATCGAAACCTCTGTTCCTTTCGTTCTCCCTCTTCGCTCATTGTATAGGATATCTCTCACCTCCTGCATGTAAAGTGGCGCACCTACCTCCAAGCCTGTCAATTCATCCTAACTTGGACACCCAAGGTACATCGTGCTATCTTTTACACGCCTCCCTCCTCCTCCTCCTCCTCTACGCCATTCATCACCGAACACCAGGAAATAGAGACGCCTATCAATGACAAGGAAGGAGAAAAGGTAGAGGGTGATGGCAATGTTTACGCAGATCTGCCTGCAGATCCATTTGCTGCTGAGGCAGTGGCTTCTAGAATGGGACTGGTTGCAGGCGATCCAAGATTACGGCGCCTCCCCTGCAGAGCGAAGAACATCACCTATGCGCACATAAAAGAAATACACTCTGACCTTTCGTGTTTCCGAGTATTTGGTGAGTGCTCCATCTTCTACGTGATAGCTTTCATAGTGAGTAGGTGGTCGATTGATGAACACCGATTGTTATTTCTAATTGCCTCTTTCCACAGAGCATTATGCTGATCATGATCTCATAAGCCTCTCCGATAGACGCCAGATTGAACAAGGCGAAGAGACTATTTTTGAGTCCCGCAGTGGTCGTCTATTTCGTGGGTGTCTTGCTGACCTACAAACTAAATCACCTAATCAGACTTCACCACCATCACTACCGCTCCTTTCTTCTTCTCCCACCAACTCGCCTACTTCACCTGATACCGTTGCTAAGGCCACTGTTTTGTCTTCGAAACAAAAAACGAGAAGGAAGCGGAAGAAGGGCAATCGTCAAAAGGGTCAGAACAGAGCATCTCCTCCCTCTTCTCCCACTTCACTCCCACCTAACCATTCACCGTCCTCTAGCGACGTTGAAACCACTGTAAAACGGGCTGATGAGTGGCTGGCGACTAAGTCTGTCCCACTTCGACAGTCCTCATCAACTTCAGATCGTGAGTTTTGTCAAAGTTCGGACGTCTTTTTCTTGTTTTGAAGCAACTAATTACCTTTTTTGGTTTTGACTCAGTTGTAGCACTTTGCAACACCTACAGCGACTGGCATCGCTCCCTGCGGTTAGCCACGGCAGTGGGTGATGTTGAGCGACTGAAAGAGCTCTTGTCTTCATCAAATGAATCCACAGGAGTGAGCTCGCCTTCCAGTGAGTTGTTCCGAAATGTGGCTATTCTGATGACGCCTAGTGTGTTTATATACGTGGAGGTGTTCCGAGTGGCATTGTTTGCAATGGATATGTTGGTTGTTTTCCACACGCTTATCTCTCACTATGGTGCTTTTCGGTTGTTGGTGTGTTAGAGGAAACAGAAGTGTTTCACTCGGTCGGCTTCCGCGCTGTTGAGTCTGTCGATTGATCGCTCGCTGTATTATCAGGGAAGGTGGCAGCATGGATGCCTCTCCATGTCCACACTTTTTCCTATCTCGTCGAACTTAAAGTCGTTTGGGATGCAGTGGCAAAGACTAAAGTCTTAGATGTATAATTAATTGTGCTTGAAAGGTGTTGATGCTGTTGAATACTTTATTTTAAATAAGTGTAAATGCCTTAAAGTACTTTTGTCCTCCGTCAACGTGCTTTAAAGGAGGGAAGTGCTTGAGATGCTATTATTTGGTGCTCATTTATTTCGGCGTCTTCTTGATTGGTGTAATGTCTAGAAGGAAAGTTTAGGCAGGTTAACCTGTTCGTCATTCAAGTGCTCTGGTAAGTTTCCAGAAAATCATACGTCCAGTGTCAAATGACTCTTGAAGGCACTCTCTTCCAGGTAAGTCAGTGAAAAGGCGATTTTAGAGGTGGTTCCGGCGGTCATTCTGTTTGCCACCAAGGGTTGGTTTCTTCAAACGCTTCGTGCGAAGATTCTGATAACATCGTCGGTTTGTGATGCAGTGCAAGGCGAAAGAAGCACTGGAGATGGTTGCACTTATGGATGTTTCTGATGGCTTTTTGAAACCTCTGATCTCTAAAAATAGACATTTTATCACATGATGGTGTATTGGTCGATTCTAACGGCCGTTGTAAACCCACCTACGTTCGTGTAATCATTGGTGATGTTTCCCTCCACAGAGAATGGGGTATCCTCCTTGACGCTGGAACCCTGGCCGGAGGATGAGACGACAATACAACGTCTATTGAACTACCGCTTCCCTGATGGACGAAGCCTTCTTCACCTGGCTGTTGAATTACAGAGTGATCCAGAGGTTGTCCGGATCCTATTGATGTCTGGTTGTAGACCTGAGGGAAGGTTGGTGAAGTCCTTTGGCAAATATTACATGTTTTGTCATCACTCAGGATGAACGCTCAGACATTTAGGTGGATGGACGTTTGCATGGAAGATTGGTGAGCGTAAGGTCTAGTAGCTGGCTTAACTGTTGAGTGGGTAAAAAGATGGTGGAATGGGTTGAGGTGAGGTGAAATGAGGAGATGGGTTCATAGTTAATGCGATGGAGTCGATGATTTGATGAAATCTCGAACTTCCATATCTTCTGATAACTCTCTCGTTTAAGAACTGCGTTAGATACTGAGATTTGCCTCGTAATGGGTTCAACGCTGGACATTCGATTCCACGGATGTCCATCCAAGTCAGCACAAGAATGTGCAAAAGACCGGATGAATGCTTGAAATGTCAGATTGGCAAGTGTTGTATCTAGACTCTGGAAGAGAATGACAAACGTGGCCCATAATTTGAGTCGAGTTTCACCATTACTCCTCTTTGATTTCTACTAATTGTTACTATTAGAGACAACAATGGAGTCACACCATACTTTTTGGCCAAGCAAATCGGCAAAAAGAGGTTGTTGACGTGTTTCAAATCCTTCCGCCAGGATTATCCGGACCGCTTTGACTACCAGAAAGCAGGCGTGAGCTGAAAGATATATACACTCTACTTAATCACAATAAGTAGCAATTGTTCTCTATTATTTCTGTTTTTAGATTCCACTAAATAGTCCTAAAAGCGCCTCCGCGAGTGCAAGTCGTCAGCAAAAGAAGAATATTCAGGTCGTATCACCAAATGTGGGTGACACTAGCCAGCAAATGGACTCTATGTCCATCCGTGAAAAGGTGAGACCCCCCACTTTCCTATCCTTCCATCTAAATTCGAAAATTTGCCCCTAAGTTTAAAGAAATTTCAAAATCCATTTTTGTAGTGCGCCTCTGCTGCAGAAAAACGCGCCCTCCTGGCACAACAAAGAGGAAAGCCACAAATGTATTTGTTACTAAATTTTACAAAATCTAGTTAGCTCTAGTGGTACCACCAGGGATTTATGCCCTCCCTTTTCCTTTCAGTACCTGCAATCAATGCTTGATGGATATAACTGGAAAACAGCCCTTCTCCTACCTTGCCTTTGTCTTCTGCTCCTCGGAATGTCTTCGTAACCATCGAATTCAGAACCGCAGGTAGACGAGAACCTAATATACCCCACCCTAGCCCCTTCCATAGAAGAGGGGAAAAAGAACCATGCTTATCCTTCCAGCCTGCTATTTTTTTTAAACGAGTATTTACACTTATCTATTCTCCTTGATTAGATGTAAACTTTCAATAATTCCTATCTTTGAGTTCTATCATTTGTGTTCTGGTTCGCACTATGGTCATGGGCCTCGAGCATCCATGATTCTGAGTAAGTAATGAATTTTGGCACGTGACGAAAGGATTTAAAGGGTCTGAATCATGGGTTAAAGCCGGAAGGGGAGGAAGGGCGGGGACCTGACAGTCAAAATCGCACCAAATACAGGATCGCACCTCTTCGAGAGCGGTCACAAAAAACCCCTTGGAGCATTGACTGATTGGGGAATGGGTACAGGTTACTCCGAAATGCTCGAGGTGAAGCTCTGGCGTTATTCTGTGCAATACTACAGATATGAACGCGATTACGAACGCAGTAGGTTTCAGTCACGGAGTCACCTTAAACGACTTTAGCTTAGTGAGAATTGATGGGAGACCGACCATCTGCAGTGCGACTTACGGAATGTTCCAGAACAAAGTCGGAATTATTTAGAACGCCTATTTGACAAGCAAAAGGCACTTCTTGACTAGCCAACTGGTGTTCCAGATCGGACTCTCCTACTGATTCGAAGTTTAAAAAAATCGGGACCGCTACAGACACCGCCATCTGTCCCAGGTAAGGTAGAGAAATGTTTGCAAATCTTGTGCGGTTACGTAACTTTGGCGACGTTTAGCGTCGACCAATCACGAGAGCGCGAGCTGAGACCGCAATCTTCAAAAGATTCTAGAACCTCTGACAGTCGAAAGAGGGGCTTACTAGAGCATCAAAAGCAGAAACGCTCTACAGAAATTTTACTAGGTAGATGGATGACTGGCCTTATTCAAAAATAGCAGGGGGCCAAAGCGGCTCCACAGACACTGGAATGGACGCCTGCTATAGTACTTGACCCATTGTACTGCTGGAAGCACCGGACAGCTGGACAGATTGTCAGCAATTTAGGCCACTTTTTCGCAACAAGCTTTATCCCCTTCGCAAAGTTCTTGAACTTGAAGTAGGCTGGATAGATGGGTGAATCTCGTAGTTAGTTGGAGTTGAGTTGAGTGATTGATGGAAACTTTGAAAAAGAAAATTTGAGTTAATACCATGATGCATACCAAGTAGACGACAAAATTTGAACTTCTAAAGGATGGACTCCTTGGAGCAAAGAGAAATTAGTGGAATGAGGAAGTGGGGAAGAACTAGAGCCCAAACCTGGGTGCATATAAACTGTAGGAAACCTCAAGTTCACGAGCCGACACTGATAACCTGAAAAAAAAGACCTGGAAAAAGAGGACTATGAACCAATTCGGAGGACTACTTGATGGAGGGGTAAGATGTGCAAAGAAGGCGTTGAATAACTAAATCACCAACTGGCCTTTTGGGGATGTGCCTATGAATAAAGTACTGATGAGAGTAGCTAGTGCCGTTGAATCAGTCACGAGACGACTGGAAGGTGAGGATGAGTCGAGGACTGGCCGACTTGCCTAATCCAGCGGATATGCAGACGTGAGCTAGCAATGGTGACACACAGATGGTGAAGATACAACTCACACCCAGCGCCGTAGACAGGACTAAAAGGCCGTGACCTCCGTTGGCCACGTGAGCGAAATTTGACCTCCACCTACGACTATCACATATTTTAACACAAAGACTCATCCCATTTCAGACACGTCCAACATGACCTTAGATACCGAACTTCGCAGCCTCTTTTCACTCACCCGCCCTGCTAGGACAATCACCCCAATTCACTCATGCTCGGAAAGAATACAAGACACAAAGCGGATCGATCGTAGTTGCAAACTTTATTCCACCCATCTTTTCCAACACACACAACCACACGCACACACAACGAATGGGGGCAAAAATGAGGAATATAAACTGCAGGATTTTAAGACCGGCGTACTTAGCGTAGTGCAATAATTCCTGCGTCCACCAACTTAGCCAGCTTCTCTGCTATCTCGGGATTCTGTAGATGCTCTCGCAACGCGCTTGGATCCTCGCTCATTTGATTGAGGATTAGACGCATTGCGGGATCGCTGAGGATGGCCTGGATCTCGGGATCATTTGCTGCGCGTTGACGTGCCGACTCTTCGTCAGGTTCGGCACTCATGCATCGCAAGAGACCATTACGAGCCTCCTCACAGTTAGGATCCAACTCTAGGGCCTTCCTACGAAAACAATTCACAATTTATTATCCCAAATCCAAATTTTTCCAGGCATTAAATAGGAGTCCACGACAAATGAAAGTGAGTAGTCTACGCACGTTTTTGCCAACAATCCAACATTCAAAAAACATGGAATACTCGACTCCGTTCTATCCCAATGGATAGATCTAACGACTTTAGGCATGGATGAATGGGATGCCTCCTCATTTCCACACAACAAGTCTTTAAAATAGCATGACGGGAACAAACGCACATCTGGCACAAAGGCAGTAAATTTCGACCTTCAGAAACGCCAACAACGGCTACCGGCGAGAAACACTTCAGATCCGTTAGTTTGTGCGTAGAAAAAATACCTTAGCACTTACATTTAGACGCAATAGACCCCGTTGACGGCTCCGAAGGTACCTAACTTCGAGAGGCAACCGCTAGACCACAAGACACAATCGCTTAGCTAATGGGTAATGATCGCACAGGAAGATCCCCAGACTTTTAGGTAGGATTCCTTGAAATCCAGATAATCCCAGGGGAAAGAACAGGTCCAATTCATTAGCACATCAACAATCAAGCGATCAATAGACCTATATCTGAAAGATAAACCACCAGCCCCGATGCACTCGCTACAAGAGGAACGATGGGATGAGTGGTACGAGAGTGAGGGACAATCTGGCATCGCCTAAACTGAAAATTCAATTGTTAGACCCCTGGGAGAAAAGCACTAATAACAAAGAACGCCTCTGATAATCTAGAAACCTGCAACGGAATCCTTTACTTAACTCTTCCAACGTTATGCTCCCCTTAAGAATTCAAAAAGCATGGGATAATGTTTGCAGATTTCGCTTGCCAAGTGAGAGCAACCAACTTGAAAATGGTACTAATAGAAGCACTCCTAAATTCGCAATGCGACCTAACACAAGGTAGTTTCTTAATAAGAATATTCTTACCTCCCCGACTCGAAAAATCATGAGATTGTAACACCACACAAACCCCAACTCTCTTAAATGCATTCAACGCCTCAATGCAAATTCAAGACTTTGGAGAACAACTACAGTATTGAACAAAACGCTTGAAAAAATCATTCAATGAAACTCACCTATATGCGCTTCTGGCCTGTGTAACATCTTTCATTGCCATCAAACAAGCACCTTTTCGTAGATAACCCTTAATGAATTTAGGATCCAGTGTTATACATGTCTCACAATCCTTCAAAGCACATGAAAATTCCATCAGCTTCGAGTAGCAGGCAGCGCGATTACTGTATAGTTTAGGATCATCAGGATTCCGCTTTATCGCCTCACAGTAGTGCTTCATTGCTGTTGGAAAATCACCACTCGAGAAGGCCGTATTTCCCAGCTGCTTCTCCTGCTCAGCAAGCTCAGGATTGATATAAGCCTGCTTCTCCATCTCCTTCAATTTCTTGTCCAACGCCTGACTTTTCTTGATGATATCTGGAGCCCGATGCTCGGACAGGGCCTTATCGTAATACTTCTTAGCATTTACCCAGTCTTCCTGTTTCTCATAACAATGACCAATCCTAGACAACGCCTTCGCAATCAACCTGTAATCAGCGTGCAAATCACGGCCCAAATCGATCGCCTTCTCGCAAGTGGAAATACACTCAGCATAATCCCCCATTTCGAAGTAAACCGCAGATTTGTTCGTTAAAAAAGTGATATCTTTCGGATTCAGTTGGAACGCCTTTTCATAGTGCTCAATAGCAGATGAGAAATTTCGACTCTTATATGCTGCGTTGCCAAGCTCCTTCTCCTTCAATGCAGCACACTCCCCATCTGTCATTTCCGGTGCAGGTGGTGCATCCTTCTGCGGCGGTGATGGTGAAGGACTGGGAGATTCCGACGGCTCCGTGTCCATAGGTTCATCGACACGGAAAAGTGTAGTTATCGTTTTCATAATTTTCGGATCTTTCATCAATAAGCCTAACATCTCGGGGTTCTTCTCAAGCAGTTCAAGATTACGTACATACACAGGATCATTCAGGAGATCTTTCAGTGTTTGATCGGCTTGAACACGATTCTTTAGATCCTTTAAGGCTACGCGAGCCCGAACACTAGCAAGACTTTCAAAAATAGAAACGTTGCTTGGATCCAGCTTCGATGCTTTCAGGTAAGCTTCCTCTGCCTCAGAAAATCTCTTCAAAAACTCAAGAGCTGCTCCTTTACGCGAATACCCCTTCGCCCAAGTAGAATTCAGCTTGACGCATTCCTCGGCATCTCTGAGGGCATCTTCGTACTGTCCAACTTTAGCATAAGCAGCAGACCTATTACTGTACAAGACATGATTCTTTGGGTCCAATTCTATAGCAGAGGTGTAGCAGTCGATAGCATTGTCGTACTTGCCCTGTTGGAGGAATGCATTCCCTCTATCCTTCAATTCAGTCGCAGAAGGCATCAGACATGCGCGAACAGCAGAGCAAAAGCGATGAGTGTAACGCAAACCTCGCGGGCGAAACTTTAAATACTATTGGTTGAGGACAGAGAAGCAACGCAGCGCTAGGACAAACATTTAACTCGTCTTATTACTGATTGGCTAGAGCATTGCTTATAGCCAGCATAAGGCATAATTCTAGAACTATTTATTTAATAAATTACTTTTATTAGATAAAACAAACCAAAACTAAAATCGCAAGACATCGAGTTTGCCTATTTTAAGCAAGTGCTATTACTAACAAATATTTTTTTTAGATTGTAAACGATGAGCAAAATAAATAGGATGTTGACGTTGAACCTAATTACTAACTTTCATCCTAAAATTGGATTCCATTCGTCCATTGCCCTTATAAAACCAAAAATATGATGCTATATATTAATTTTATCTATGCATATTATCTAATAAAGACGTAAGCTACCAAATTTTGTGCTTTTTGTTGTCCGCTGATAAATGCTTCGCCACTTCGTGTATTTACATTTTTTGTACCTTTTAAGTCTCAATAAACATCTAATCGAGTTTCCTATTCGTTACCTACCTTTGACCTGCTGCAAAATTTTTAGGTCGTACTCTAGGCTGTCCCTGGTGCAGATTGTGTACGATTTTGAGGTGAACGGCTTGTACCGTACCACACAGGTTCTCACCATTAAGCGCCAAAAACGTGGAGTTAGAAACAGTTGCAATGAGTGCTTTGGTATTGTGGGAAAATTGAGTGCATTTTAAAAAGATCGGAAATTGCTTTCCTCACGCTATGCATCGGAATTTCGTTTCAAGCCTTATATCGCTTCGCCTGTTCATAACGCAAATTTATTTTACCTAATCTTGGCCTTTTATTATAGCTGCATTATAAAATAGTAGGTGGTTGTACCGAATTCATCTTGCTGTTGAAATAGACCATCACACAAAGAGAGTGAACACTTCGGGTATGCCCACAATCGGTCTAATACATAGGTGGTGCCCCCCTGTGGTGGTCTGTGCCTGTATGACCAAAATGTTACATATACGAGTAGACTGGGGAACAACTCCCTTACAACTTCATTTTAATAGCTTGATAAGATGCTTAAGATCTGTAGTATTGGTAAAGAAGTCCACTTTACTGCTTCCTTGCTTTTTAGGTTGAAGTTGATTTTCCTTTTAGTCTAGCTGCTACCCCTCCATGGTAGGGTAATCACCACGCAAGCTTTATGGAACTACCGTCTTAAAAATGTAGGGAAATTTCTCACATTCACTGCTGAACGCTTTGAAAATGCGCACAATTTGATTGCCATATTGTTCTGATTCATAGTAGGAGTGAGTAATAAGAGGGCACACGGTTCTCCGACCCGTGGTGGGAATAATGAACGTGGAGATCTAAACCAAAAAGTTATTTACATAATCCTATGTAACGCGTCGAAATCCAAAGTCATCAACAGACCCGATAGGACCTCACTGTTTAGCCACAGCACCCTTTCTGCAGAGCCCTACACCCCCTAGCCTCCAGAACTACAAGGTAGGATGGGGCCTCAGTAAGTCTGGACTTGTTTACTTTGCTCAGCATTCCTTTGTAGCTTCTGGCGAATCGCGCGTCTACTTCAGACTCCCACCACTTAAACAAACACCGCTTTGCCATCACTGTTATTGTAAGGGTTGTCTGAGAAGCAGGCGCAGGAGTTGCAGCTCTTAGGGGTCTGGATACTCGCCTAGGGAACAGCTCAAACTTATCAACTACCGAGGGGTCCAATATGGTTGACGAACTCTTTCCGACAACGTATGATGCAAATCTCAATAACAAATTTGTTTCATAGTCCAGACCAGCGATGAAGAGCCTATAGAAAATCTTCCATTAAACTTTTGAAGTTGGCTCAACTTGCAGTAGTGGAGAATACTATCAATCAAAGATGATTCGATTCACCTCGCTAAGGCCTACCCTGTTCCAACCTTCAACAGCTCTTTCTCTTCTTTCAGTACGAAAAAAATGCAGTGACTGACAGACCTGTTGTGTTCACTCCGTGAAGGCCAACCACATATGTGATGACTTACATTTCTCTAAAAACAGTTGACTGTTGTGAGAAAGTCGGGTCTATACAGGATTAGGCATGATGTCGACCCACCTTAACTTCTTCACACTATGTCATCAACCAAAGTGGGGCCACCCGAATTCACATGTAACATACAACGTTTTGTCAAAAAAGTCGGAATGCCATATAGATGTGACACCTATGTTAAGCAAATTAACCAAAATTATTGGCTCTATTATGCCATCATGATCGCGACCTCACACTGTGTCACTGGTTCATACACGTCCAGTCGTAACTCTCGCCTACGGTTTTGGAAAGCCATTCAATCTCCGACAATTGTGCGGCTCCCTTCTTTGACTCATTCTAGCCAATTTACTAATTAATTCACCGACGGTTGAATTATTTAATCTCACCAAAAAAATTCACATAAACAGCGAGGAAATGGTGGTAAATCAGTCAAGTAGCACTTCCATCTATACTCTCGTAACAGATTATCCGACCTTGAAACAAACCAATCAGCGTTGAGTGTGTAAAATTTATCTTCCTTATCCTCTCACTTTCAATTTTAAAAATGGCAGAGAAAAAAATGTGCCATAAGTTCAAACAATAATTCAACCTCAAGTATTTTTCTCGTGCTCTAATTTCGAGTGCCAAGAAAGAGCTAAATAAATGTCGACTGGCAGTGAATGTTGAGCGCTTTGTCAACAAGTGCAGTGTCGCTTTGAAAGTGCAGACCTGTGGAAAAAAATCAGAAGAGCGTAAGAACGACCGGCACTTGGGGTCATGCCTCAGTGATCTGAAAAAGGCTACTTCTCAGCGTGTCAACGTGTAAGCGTGTCAAGGCGGGTTTTGGCGAAGGCGCAAAGAGAGAGCATGGCAATTGCCTTTGAAGCGAAGACCATTAAAACATCTTCCAGGGTTATCAATGTACCACAGCAAAGAACACGTGGAAAGGAGGATAGCACATTTATTTAATTAGCCCTGGATAAAGGCTTTCTATATAGCTAATTTGATTGATGAGGGCAGAAAATCGACACCTAAATGGCTCCTCACGGCAATAACAAAGAGTATGAGATGCGTGGAAGTTCCGCTCATAAAACCTAATGCAAGAAAGCTCATCAAAGTCCACCTTCCCTTAAAGTGGTGTTTCTCCCTCTTTTTTTTCAAATTCCAAATGCTAAGGGCACTCGTACTATTTATAGTACCATCCGCAGATCCATTCAGCTTTTGTTCTATCTTCCACAAACAGTTCTTCCTTGCACAATGGAAGGTCAAATGTTCACCCCACAACAGTGACAAGTGAGACGTGGCACGAAACAAGCCAGTCCACTCAGCTGCACTTCAACATGTTTACCCAGTCCTGGACGGGATCCAGGTTATGTAGGTGTGCACTTGTCTCCCCTCCCTTCCCTTCCCTTTTGGTACAGGGTACCATCTGAACCCCCCTCCGTCCACGACGATCGATTTTTAGCAAAACAGCAACTGCAGAGTGCACAAGGGTCGATGAAAGCACCAATTTGTTGGGTCAAAGCCGTTCTAACTGCATCCTTTATATTTATCAACAAAGTAAGAGACATTCTGGAAGGAGGAGGTCTAATTGTGATTAGAATTGTGAGGGTGCTAGAATTAATAAAGGTGGATGAGAGGAAAGTGATGCAAGCGGTGAAGTCGACATCGCCGTGGTCGAGGCATTCAACATTAGGCAACTATAAAATTGATGTTTGCGCTTAGATGCCAACGGGTCATGACTTGATCCATTCCATGCCAGCCATGCATCTAAGTCGCCTCGGTAGAGCAAACGGCAAGTGAATTAGGAAGACCGTCGGTTTTCTCACCCATCATTCTTCGGGTAGAGAAAAATCGTTAGACCCTGCTAACTCACTACATAAATATGATCCATTTATCAGAAAAAAGTGAGTCCTTAGAAATCCACTCTCCAACATTACATGTAAGAATTTTTGGTTGCTTCAAAAGTCGACGAGACGCTTTACAATGTTCTTTGCTTTCTCTTTCACACCACAGCTCGCTTAAAGAGGTATCGAGACGCAATTCAAAAGATAAATTATCCGAAAAAAGGCAAATAAACCTAGCAGCAACTGCACAGAAATTTACGAACAGCAGTCGGTGGGGAAGAGCGGACAGCATGAAACGGGGAATCGGGGAGAGGGGGTCATGCAGACATTTCCGGAATGTTCAATGATTCTTTGTTCTTGTATACTGGTGCAGGTAAGCATTCTTTTCTCCTCATATTCTAACACGTCTGTTTGAGTTTTTCAAAATTTGGTAAAGGCAATATTTTTTGGCAGTACTTTAAACCGCTGTGTGGTGCTCCGGGTAACCTGAATTCCTGTTTGGTGAACTGTACTGTCCAATGAAGGAGGCCTCCTCATTGAAGGTCCCTACAATGTCAAAAACGAGACACAGTCAAAAAATATGCAATATGATCTGATTCTTTCAAGAGTCAATGACTTGGAATTTGCTCGCTTTTCTTTTTTGAGGAAAAATAATTCAAATTTGCAATTGGTTAATTTGCTTGAGTGCGATGCTTTGATTGGTCAGCAGTGACCATTCAAAGAGCGAGGTCTGAGGATGAAATCTGATTGGGTAGTCAGTTTCAAAAATAAATGATCTGAGATGAAGACGAATGATAGCATTTTTTCTGCCAATTTTGTGTTAAATACAATGACAAAATAAAAATTTATCACATCTGAAAATGCTGCAGCAGTTCCGATTGTTGCTTTTTTGTCTTGACGGCCTGTTCGCGATAAAATTGGCACATATTTCCGCTTGCTAACGGCAAACGGTTTTAATTGTTGGGCAGAGGCTGAGATGCTCAAAAGAAGGTAAGGCGTGTTTAACTAGTTATAACGCCTCCGTTACAGGCCTAACCACTGACTTGGTGACCACATTTCCTTCTTCCCCATTTCTAGTAGTTTGTCACACCAGCTCGGACCCTTTCGAAACTATACAAGCACAAAAACAGACGTACGCAATCATTCGTCCG